CAGCCGGCTTTATATCATTAGGCCTGTAATTCATGTTACATTTTTCGCACTCAGCATTTTTGCTTTCCCTCTCTTGCCCGATATATTTATTTCAAGTGCAAAAATTTTTGGAAATTTCAAGCAACATGAACATCCATTATTTATCAATTATTATTTCAGTCATACAAGAAACACATAGGAAAGCTATTAAAATTATGTACAATAACGTCAGAAGTAATGTATATCGAAATATGTTTATATACTTTTATCAAAAAGTAGATTTAAAAAAAGAAAACAAAAAAGCAGTAATATTTACTATTGTAAAAATTCTGTATAAAAATATACTTATAACTTATAGTTATAAAAATAATATAAATTTTAGAATAAATATAATTCTCTCTTTTATAAGAAAAATTTAAATTTAATATCATACAATATACGTATTTGTGAACTTTTTGTTATTTTACTCATATTTGTTAATTACCCTGATGGAAATCTCCTCATGATGGGAAGATTTGGAACGGGTATATACCCATTTTAGATGGGTATACATATTACGATTTAAGAATCTTGCAATATTGTTACAGAGACATTAAAAAATATTTTGACTTTTAAGTAATGAACTGCTGTCACATGTGGGAACATACATCAATTACACGTTATATGATTGTTAATTATTTCCATTAATTTATGGCTTCTGTATACTGGACGCAGAAACGCTTGCCGCGCGATAAAATGCGAACGGTAACCAATGAACATGTTACGAGCTGTAAGCTTATTGGTTACCGCGTCGCATTTTGCCGCATAACAAATGTTTCTGCATCCAGTGTGCGGGAGCTATTAAGAATTATAGTATTCATTGAAATATTTGTTGCCACCGTGCAACAAAAAATTTTTCAAACTTTATAATCAACTGTCATAATTTTTTGAAATATAAATTTATTTATTTCGTTAAAAAAATTCTTTGAATAGCAAAGAAAGTGAAATAGAATGCGTGGAGTTCATTATTATTTCCATTTCATTAGTTAAGAATATGTACAAAATAAGCGTACCTGCATAAAGTGTAAAATATATATTTGCAAAAAAGTGTAAAATATATGTCTACATATATAAAATTTAAAAAATATACATATCTGCATATAAAATTTGCAATTAAGTGTAAAATATATAATAATTATAATATTATATAAAATATGTATTAATTAGCTCACTTTCTCTGCATTTTTTTAATTATATCAAATTGTATTTCAAATTATATTCATATAATAATAAAAGAATTATTTTTAATAACAGTTCCAAATACATTGCACTGTAACATTGTAATGATATTACAGCGCAATCTTGCTGAAGGCTATATCTGCAATCATTTTGCAATCTTTCTGTGCTGTATGAGCATATTCTAATTACTTGTCTTTTAAATATTCTCAATACCCTCCCCCCCCCGAAAAGCCTCGACGTCAAACGCCCTCTGTCGATCATTGCGATAATTCCGACAAGTCGTTATGTACGAACATTGAACGCGATCGCGGTTCGAAATCGATCGCGAGTTTCGTCCGTTAAAAGTGCACATGAATTTTCGTCGAGTGTCAATTAAAGTGACGGGTAATCATCGAAACGTATCAGTTATCGCGGGCTCTCACGATCAGCGCCGTTTCTTCGATTATAAACGACACTACCCTGTGATTCGTAATCGCTACAGTTACAGTGAGTACAGATTCCGAGAACATAGCCACGCGAAAATGATCCTTAAGGCTAAAGCACAGACCTTTGCATAATACAGAAGAAAATCAAAGTCGTTTATTTCAAGGAAGGAAATAAAGGACTTCGATTAGTTCATTTTCATATGAATTGTGCGTTATGCAAGACTCTGTGCTCCCGCCCTTACGCTTCTACGAAAAAATCGAAGCTCGAGACGATTCCTAGCGTATTTTTTACTAGATATGACGTTTATAACGTGTCCAATCAATATCTGAATCATTGTGATCATGCTCGTCCACCGCGTTAAATAAAAAATCCATCGTTTAATCCTTGTACAATAAACATAAATACATAATAATGCAAATGTGCGACAGTTCCGTCAAGTAAATTCCGTGTAACCGTAGCGTCACTGCTTGCTTTATGTGTTGATAACACGACGCATGCGAGTTTCATTATCGACGTGACACATTGCATTCTCATTACTAGAGTTTCGTCAAGTAGACTCCGTACGATCGTAGTATGATACAGCATGATTATATGCATGAATTTTGAAGCATGCTGTATTTATTAGATATAATAATTGGCAGTGATTGGATTATTCTCTGTATTAACTGGGATTACTATTCGTATATGTGAATATTTGTAGATTAAAAGTATAAAATTGCTGCTATTAATTATATTATGATTGATATTATAATTTATGAGACCATGTGCATAGTTAATGAATAGAATGAATAGCCTTTTGTACATAGTACATTATAATATGGTATATTAAAATATAAATTAATAATTAGCAATATAAAATGCTGATCATTTTCTAGATTAGCCAATTGCTGCTTGCATGTATTATTTTGTAAATTTGATAAATGAAATCACTGTAATTAATATTATAATTATTACGTTTATGTGCATATATGTTATGTGTCAATTGACAATCCTTTTTTATCTTTTATTACTTTTAATTGAAATATAAAGTAGTAAGTGGCAATGATCGTGATTATTTTTTACATTACTGCTTGTAGTTGCTGGATTAGTCGTTACATACTATAATCGTGAAATTAATATAACTGGTGTTATGAGAGTTGCTTATAAGCCTTCTGTAGTAACATTCTAAATTAGAAACATTGTAACTATAACATAATAACGCTGCGATTACTACGGTTATAAAAATGATTAATTTTATCCTCTCTATCCAAATTATAATATTTAATTACTAAGAATTAATACACTTTACACGTAAAAATATACATATACAACGTTGAAAGAAATATTAAGTAATTGTTGTATTATATAGATACAGCCAAATAAGAATTAGTTACGGATTTTAATATTTCTCGAGATTCCTAAGCAAATTTGATTAAGAAAAATATTGGATTTTAACCAATGCCTATTCTATCTAATGAAAAATTCGCTATGATTCAGATATAAATGACAATAATCAGTTATAATTATGTGTGTGTCGCGAAGTGCATTGTGTTTTTCGTGTTTCATAAAATGGTGCAGTAAACTTGTAAATAATATAAATTCGATTTTTGAAAACAAAATGAATCTAAAAGTAAAGTGAATACTGAAGTATATGAATTAATATTTGAAGTATGTCGGCTCGGTGAGTGACTTTAAAAGTATCGTATCACACAATGTCTCACCGAGCAAGATATTTATCGTTCTTTGGATAAAATTTTGATAATACAATAACTTATACATAACTGATGGAGTATTTCTTAAGATGGAATTTGCAACGAACTGGCGCAAAACAGATACTTCGGCTGATAAATGAAATATTATATAATTTGCATACTCTTATTACATAATATTAATATCATTTGCTGTTTTCTATTTACCATTATTTACTATATTAAGAATGTGCGTTTAATGTACTTACATTTTCAGTTATAATTTTACTTTTTACTAAGGTGAAAGTGACATGAAAGCACTAATACATAGTTTACAATAAAACCTTGTAAGAATAATGAACTTTATTAATATTTCATCGGTTATGCTATTAAACTAATTCAATCTAACCAATCAAATTCATCATAAAATATATAGTGAAGAGAGTAGTGTTTTTAGAAATCTAAAAATATATATAGAATATATATAGAATATTATATATAGAAAAATTATAAGAAAATGCAAAATTATAATAGAAACTATTTTATTTAAATTAACAATATTGACATAATATATTTATATAGTTTAATAATCCCACAAATTTTGCTTGATCTCGGAACTTAATTAATACATTATTATATTTTTAAAACATAAATGCTATAATTTTTGTTTTATAAAAAGAAATTGTATAAATTAAAAAATTTTGCAATTTTGTGCAATATACGTACTTGTAGGCAAAAGAGGCCAAAATATATCAATCATGTAGATTGATATATAAAATATTATCTAAATTTTTTTTAGAATTCACACTATAGAAATCGCTTTAGTTCTTAATCTGAAGATTCTGTTTTCAATTTTATCGCTAGCTGGCTAGCCACATAATCCCAATATCGCCATCTTATTGTGTCATATTTTTTCGATAAATCCTTGCACAGCTAAAGTAATAAGTACATATATCAGATATGACAAATGATATAATATTACGAAGTGCAAAATATATTACAAAAACAGACTTACCTCGTATGCAAAATTAATATGAAACAGAGGAGATGGGGTTTCGTCTGATGGACATCTTTCTTGGCAAATATCAATCATACAGGCCAATAAATGATTAGTGCGGCATCCTTCTTTATACATTTCTTCACATTTATGTCTTACTTTCTCATTATAACCTAAACCTTTGCTATGATGTGATAATATTCTAAAAACATAATTTAAATAAATTCAAATAAAATATCATTTCTTAAAATTAAACTCTTGATATATATATATCAGAAATAAATACCCTCTTAAATAGTTCCAAGCACTCTCATTTCCTTTTTCCAACTCAATCTTCTCCAATGTAAAATCAACTTCCCTATCTATCACTTCTTGCTCAAACTTTGTTGTATTACTTATAACAAAATAGCGCTGGTTCCAAGCAGAATTATTACGGACATCGTCATTTAACAACTGTTCCACATATTCCAATTCCTTATCATATAAACTGCAATCATAATATTTTGGGACACATGTGGTCCCACAATCAGTTATAATAAAACAATATTACTACATGTATATTCTATGTACATATATAAAGATATACTTACTTAAAAGTTTGTATACACCATTGACGATGTTGCCAAGCATGATAATTCTTTGCGTCTTTACATAAAACAGTTTCTATGAATGCTAATTCTTCATTAGGATCTTGCAACCATTCTACAATGACCTTCCTATGATGCCAAACTTGATAATTTTTAGAATTATACTTTATCATTCGATCTGCATATTTTAGTTCTTCATGTAAGTTTTTTGCCAGAGTTTTAAGTATCTCTCTTCTGTATTGCCATACAGTATAATTGGCTGGATTAAGCCATATACAGGTTTCCGTCAAAGCTAATGCACGTTCTGACTTTTCACTTGACTTTAAAATGGCACGAAAATAATCATAGGCATCCTTAACTAAAAATTAACATCAACATGAGATGTATATAAATAAACGTTATATAATTTATTGAAGCAAAATCTTTTTATGGAAAATAATGAGTTTATATAATATTTTATGTTCTATAAAATACAGCTTAAAAATAAAATTTTTTAAATATGATTTAAATGTGAAAAATGTAATTTTTGAAATTATATGTACTCACATTTTTCGGAATATGCAATGGATACGACAGGATGAGGACCATCATCCTGGGGTATAGGAGTTACGTCATTCCACTCAACGCGGTCTTTATACAATATCCACGACGTTTTCTCGTGATCATCGCTGCTATTTAATTCGTCGTCAGAACTGTCTGACATGGTTTTCTATTTTAATACAGTATTTTCTGTTAAAAATCGTAGAACGAAAACAAGATTGCGAAAGTTTTCTTTCATGAATCCTAACCTAATTCACTTTTGCACTTCCTTCAGTGCTAAAACACGGTTCTAACAACGTCGACGTTAAAAACTTTAAAAATCTACTTGGTTGCTGCATTTATTGCAATATAATCAGCGTTACGTGTCTTCATATTTAAAATTTTCGAATAAATCTTGTCTAGATATTCGCATACATCGTAATTGTTAACTAAAAAAATATACTTACGTACAAAAAATGAAATATAATCTTCGTCTTTTCTAATATTTAACTTTTTGTAATATTTAATCTTTCGTATATATAAAACACTACTATCACACCGATCGCGTTCAATTTATAGCGATTGTACGTTACACTTTTTGAATCCAAAGTGAGATAGCTATTCAGTGAATATTGGATGGAAAAAGAGAAAAAATAAAAAGTACAGAAAGTGCAACTGCAAAGAATAGATTTATTATCAGTGATGACAGTACAATTTATATTTTTATATATATATATATGTATATATGATGGAAAATATGTATATCAAGATCATTCAGAACTGCATACCTCGCTCCTATTGATCTTCAAATTCACTGTAGCAGGACTATCTGGAAAAATTATAAGAATTACGAATGCATTAGGGTAAGAAATGATTAATTGTCGTTTATTTTAAGCTCGAATAAAAGATTAATCCCACATATACATTAAAATTTATAAGATTTATTGAACAACAGAACGAAACGATAAAATTTGATGCTTTTGTTTAAGATATTTAAATAAAAAAATTATAAGTTTGTATCATAATATAACAATATTCTCTACGGTAATCTATGCACTGTTTACAAAGAAAATTTGTATTGTGTGGACACCAGAACACTCATCTCACACTCTCGATTCTATATTCTCATCTCACACGTATTCACTGAATATGCTATGAAGCATTCTACAATAGCAAGTTTGTTAACAAATTATTTCCATATTATTTTTGGTACAAGTCATTTTACAATAATTATTACGATGAAATCTTGACATTCTGCATAGGTTTGTAGGCTGCACAAAAAAGAACAATTTGCATTAGTTACATTATACAAGTGATTAGCTATGTACATAATTTATTACTTCATGTGAAAACTGGCCAAATTTTTAAAAAATTAGCCATTACTACTACAGATATATAATACAGTTACTCCTTTTTAGCAGACTTAAGAAAACTTGCGGTAACTGTTATTACTTTTAGAATCTTACAAAAAATAAAAGATAATTTTGTATGATATTTAGGATGCAAGAGCTACTTACAAAAAAATATATATAAATACCACAAAATTGCTATTATATATCAGAATCACTAAATATAACAAAAAAATTGCTTTTCTCTCTCTTCCTTTCCGTATGTATGAATAATACTTTATTTCTAGTCGGTTGTTATCGCAGAATTGAAATTTTAATTTATATTTTCTTTTCTTCACTAGAATAAACGGTTCCTTTGAGCTTACAGAACAGCAAACGTTTATACAAGTGTATGTGAATGGAATCTGCTTTCCTTTTTTACAGAACGTAAATTATTTAATTAGAATTAATTTTTCTCTTCCTTCTTCTCGCCTTCAGGTTCCTGTTGTGATTGACTTTGATTTTGACTTTCTCTCTCCGCTGCCATCTGTAAAATCAACATGTTTAAATAACGGTCCTTGAGAGTTATGTACAGCACAATTTATTTATGTTCATTAAATTAATTTTTACATAAATTAAGTACCTTTTTGTACGCCATTTCAAATAATTTCAAGCTCGCTTGTTGGAGTTCGCTCGTTTGCTTCTTGATTTCTTCAGGATCCACATCATCTTTCTTAGCCAAAATCTCTCGTAGTTTTGCAACTAGTTCTTTAAGTTTGTCACACTACAAAAAGAAAGTAATAAAAATATTAAATTTACAAAAATATCAAAATATTAAAAGCAATATTATACCTCTTCCTGTGGTAACTGCGCTTTGAATTCTTCTAGCTTCGATTCTGTGTCATGTATAATTCCTTCTGCTTGATTGACAACTTCAACTCTTTCCTTCTTAATTTTATCTGCCTTTGCATATTGTTCAGCATTCTTAACCATATTTTCAATTTCATCTTTGCTAAGGCCACCACTAGATTGAATAACAACTGTGAAACAAAAAACAGATTTAGAATATGCCCATAAAAAATAGAATTCATTATAATAATAATAACAACTCAGTTGAATGTAGTCTACAATCTTATTGATATTTCAAATAAGTTTCAGAGACGAAAAATATAGGCATCATTGTAGCATTAATTATATAAGTTTTTAACATTATATATATGTATGAAATGATAGAAAATTTACGTACTTTGTTGCTCTTTGCCAGTTCCCTTATCCCTGGCTGATACATGGACAATACCGTTTGCATCGATATCGAATGTTACTTCTATTTGTGGTACACCTCTTGGTGCAGGTGGAATACCAACAAGACTAAACTGTCCTAGAAGCTTATTATCACCAGCCATTTCTCGTTCGCCTTGATGAACTTTAATCTCGACTTGTGTTTGACCGTCTGCTGCCGTAGAAAATACCTGACTCTTCTTTGTAGGTATAGTTGTATTACGAGAGATCAATCTCGTAAATACACCACCAAGTGTTTCAATACCTAAAAAAATTTTTAAATATTTTCTTTTTCATTACTGATCACAAAGTATCTTTATTTGTAATGAAGAATAAATGGAAGATCAGTAAATCAATGTCCTCATTTATTATCAGAGAGAAGATTAGTCTAACACATCACAATTTCATATGTATAAAATAGTAGAATTTGAGTAAAAATTTTACCTAATGACAAAGGTGTAACGTCAAGAAGCAAAACATCTGTTACATCTCCTGCAAGTACACCTCCTTGAACTGCAGCACCAACAGCTACGGCTTCATCCGGGTTTACAGCTTTCGATGGTTGTCTGCCAAATATTTCTTGAACGGTTTGTTGTACTTTGGGAACCCTGGTCATACCACCGACCAATAAAACTTCCCCGATATCAGATTTTGTTACTTCGGCATCAGAAAGCGCTTTCTGACATGGTTGAACAGTACGTTTAATCAGATCATTTACGAGACTTTCAAATTTACTTCTGGATAACTTAAGATTTAAATGCTTTGGTCCACTAGAATCCATAGTAAGGTAGGGAAGATTTATATCCGTCTGAAGGGAACTTGATAACTCTATTTTAGCCTTTTCTGCAGCTTCTTTCAATCTTTGCATTGCCATTGCATCTTTAGTCACATCTATACCTTGCTGCATTATTTTAACAAATCAATTATTATTAACATAAATTTACTTCAACAAGCATATGCAAATATAGTGAATAACTGTATTTGGTTATAAAAAAATTCATACTTCTTTTTTGAATTCGGATACGAAATAATTAACCAATGAATTGTCAAAATCTTCTCCTCCCAAAAATGTATCTCCATTTGTGGATTTTACTTCAAAGACACCCTTCTGGATTTCTAAAATCGAAATATCAAAGGTACCTCCACCCAAATCATAAACAGCAATACTGAAAAAAAGGCAACACAGTAATCATATTTATTTTTTCATAAAGTATATAATATAGCATAAATTTTAATAAAATATTTCAACATAAAATATATATATATATATATCTTTAGAGACAAAAAATCTGCTCTGAAGATATATATCTTACGTTCCGATAAATTATTTTTATAAGAGTATTTTTTATATTATGCCTCGATGAAATATATCTTCTTACATTTTATCTTCTTGTTTATCCATTCCGTAAGCAAGTGCAGCTGCAGTTGGTTCATTAATTACACGAAGAACGTTCAATCCAGCAATCTGACCAGCATCTTTTGTTGCTTGTCGTTGTGAATCATTAAAATACGCTGGTACAGTAATAACAGCATTCTTTACTGGAGTATTTAAGTAAGCCGCAGCAGTTTCCTTCATTTTCATAAGTACAAATGCTCCAATTTGACTGGGAGAATACATTTTTCCATCCGTACCTTGAACCCATGCATCTCCATTAGACGCCTTTACAATTTTGTATGTTACACTCTTCCTGTAGGAACGCATTACATATTAATACATTACATAAAACAAATATCATAAAAATTGATATAAATAATAAAAATATTAATATATTTACATATCCTCTTTCACTTCAGGATCTTCAAATCTTCGTCCAATTAACCGTTTTGTTGCATAAAATGTATTAACAGAGTTTGTAACTGCTTGACGTTTTGCAGGCATGCCAACTAAACGTTCGTTATCTAAAAAAAAAAAACAAAAAATTATTTAAAACAAAATTAAATAAGAAAATTTTTTAGAATTTAATTTATATATATTTATATTTTTTGTTATACTTAATGCATGAATAATTATAATCGGTAATCATAATTAATAATGACTATGTTATCAAAAGGATTTTAATATTAATACATAATAATTTAGTAATATTACCTTTTGAAAAAGCAACATAAGATGGCGTAGTCCTAGAATCTTCAGCATTTTCTATAACTTTAGCTTGCTTGCCCTCCATCACTGCTACGCAGGAAAAAGTGGTTCCAAGGTCTATACCGATAACTGCACCCTTTACGCCTTCAGATCTATTAAAAATTAAAATGAATTTAAAAACTATTCTAAATCTAGATAACATACTTTTACATTTATGATATTCATTTCTTATTAATTATACCGATATTAGAACTTACTTATACCGATACTGTTGCATATCGGTAAATCGGTTTGGTACAGTGACTGTTGGAGCTGCGACCTAAAATGTTAAATATTTAAAATAATATATATATTTAAATCCTATTTAATAATAAAGAAAGTATTTATTGCAAAGAGATTACAATATCATAAATTTTATAGAAGAAATTTAAAGAAGTATTTAGAAAAATACTTATAACTATTTATTTAATATAAATTATATATGTTTAAAATAAACAAGAAGCTAATAAAATATACATTCTTCGCAGAAATATATATTTTTAACACAACGAAGGATCTTATTACATAAAAAATCTATAATGATTAAACTTTTTCAAATTAACCTAGAAAATCAGTTTTAGCTAGTTTTAACAGTTCTAGCAATAATATGTAAAATATACAGAAAGTCGAGTATATCGTTGACAGTAACACTTAAAAAAGCATTTGCGAAACGTGAGGTAGTAATCCACTCACGTGCCGGCTTTAAAATCGGCGTTGTGATAAAATTAATGTGCGACAGAAATTTGTCGCGATGCATGATTGCAAAGGAATTTAAGACCATTAGCGTAGGATAACAAGATAGCACTGCCAATTAAGTTTCATCTCTCATTAGACGACATGCAAATAGTGACGACTGCAGGCTAGGAAAAACTACAAGATCGTAATATCGCTATCGGTACTCACATTTTTCAAAATCGTGCTGAATTGTTGTTTTCTGGTCAGATCGCAGGCAACGCCGGTGCAGCTGCGGTTCAATAATCTCGCGGCGGTCAACATCTTGGCCTTCTTTCGATAGGATTTCGGCGAAAAGCAGGAAACGCGGCGTGCCCAGCCTCACGTGTAACGATCAGTAATGATGCAACTCTTATAAAGACCCGTAATACGCGTACACCACGCGCGCATCTCATGGCGCATCCATTCCAACGACCGGACAATGGATATCCGCGTGTTCACGAATCGTTTGCATTTTACTATGGCTCCAATAGAATACACCAATAGCAAACGTCCACCGTCACCCTACTACTAGTAAGAAGCGAAACTTCCCGAATGTTCTACCAATGGTGCGTTCGGGGAGACGCTATTAACGCTATTGTGTCATTCTATCCTTGCTTTACGTTTAATAAACAACGAAGATAGAATGACAGAATAGCGCTATTAGCGTCTCCCAGAACGCACCACGAACGGATGAGAAATCATACGTCGAATACATTATCAGAAATTAAAAATTACGTAACTATCTCTGGCAAAATAATGTAAATTATTACACAAATTATTTTGTGTGCCGTTGCAAGCGCCTGCGCGAGACCTAAATTGGGAAATTTAACAACTGAATAGCCGGAACTCTTTATCAGTATATGTATATAAAAATATGGATTTCCGAATTTCAAAACAAGTCAATGTTCAATCTAATGTAATATAATAAATATATGATGCAATCGAATAATAGAAATGAGAAAACGAGCGATAACATGGGATAGGATGGAATATCTTTAATAATTTTTATTTATATTTATTGGTACAGGATAACCATTAGGATTATGTTGATACCGTTATATTTTTTCTCCTCCGTTTTAACGATCGTTTTTCTAATTAGAGTCGGATCATGATAGAAGAAACTCAAAGAGGTGCGTTCCAAAACTCGACCTATCAATTCCCAGTATCTTTTATCCTTATTCAACATTCGGTGAACAACAAAGATAAAATGATATTCTTGCATATATATTTTTAACAGCCAATTAGTGACATCATGTACCGCCATGTTGCCGCGGTTATTTGAATTCAGCGTTATATCATTATTATTTTATTTACTTTATTTTTGTGTTTTTAATTATATTTGCTTACAATATATATAATATATGATATAATGAATTTGGTTGTATCTTTTGCTATAAAAAAATTGATTTTCCACAAGTTTCTTCTCACTTTATATCATAACGCATTCTCTTTTGAGAAGCGATAAAATGTATATATTTCTAAATTCTTTATAATGATCATTTTTACTTGTTTTTATTTGGCACTCATTTTGGTCTCTCGGGCTGTCACTTAAAAATTACCGCGGTGCAAATGTTTAAATAGTTAAAATTCAAAATTGATTTTTTCAATTTATTTATTTAAAATATTAGGTGTACAAATAAGTTTTAAAGCGTTTTTTAAATGAAATTTAATATTTATTTATTTAGAAACGAAAACACACTCAATTATCAAAATAATCTCCATCATTATCTATGACCTTTAGCCATCTTTCGGGCAACTTGCGAATTCCAGAAGAGAAAAAGGTTTCGTCTTTCGATGCGATAAAATTATCCATCCATTTTCGCAATTCTTCAAATGCTCGAAAGTGTACACCGGACAAGACGTTTTGCATTGACCGGAATAAATGATAATCAGAAGGGGCTATGTCTGGGCTATACGCCGGGTGCGGCAAAACTTTTCAACCAAGAGCTAGCAACGTTTCCTTTACAGGTTTGCCAACATGAGGCCTGGCGTTGTCATGAAGCAATTTCACGGAGCGTTTTCCTTTGCCAGTAAATGGACGATTTCGTTCGATTTCTTGATTTAAACGGATCAATTGCTGACTATAGCGATCACTGTTAACCGTTTCATTCGGATGGAGCAGTTCATAATATAGTATACCCTTCATGTCCCACCAAATGTATAGCATAACTTTGCTGCTGTGGATGTTACGTTTTGGCGTTGATGTAGTGGGTTGTCCTGGATCCACATAATGTTTTCTCTTTTTAGGATTATCGTAAAAAATCCACTTTTCATCACCAGTCACGATTTTCCACAAGAAAGATTTTCTATGCTGTTTATTGTACAGATTCAAACATTTCTCAAGACGATCATTTTTGTTTTTTTTTCACTTAATGCATGCGGCACCCACTTTCCTTCCTTCAGAATCATTCCCATCTGCCGTAAACGAATTGAAATATCTTGTTGAGTTACTCCAAGTTGCTGTGCAAGTTCGTTTTGTGTTTGACATGAGTTTTGATCGAGTAATGCTTGCAATTCATTGTCTGTAACCTTCCGAGGAGCACCACTACGTTCTCTATCGCTAACATCAAAATCATCCTCTTTAAATCGCCTAAACCAAAACTCACACGTACTTTTGGATACAACATTGACTCCAAGAACTGAACAAATTGATTCACATGCTTTAGCAGTGCTTTTTCCTTGATGAAATTCGTATCGAATGCAGTGTCGAATAAATTGCTTGTCGTTCGCCATTTTAAAACCATTTAATTTTGAGGTTAAGTTTCCAATTTTGTGAAGTCAATTGTGTTTTTTAATAGTACACATTAAGCGCCAATACATATCAAAAGAGCGCGAAAATATTTGAATTCTAAGTTTAAATTATACGTTACACAAAAAAAACGCTTTAAAACTTATTTGTACACCCAATAACATAATTTTATTTCTCTCGAATTTTATTTCTTTCGTAAAAATTTGACCGAAAGTAATTCTGATAAAAGAAAGTAATACTGATAAAATAATTTGGATTAATACTTTTCGATTAAATAAGACTATATTTTTTATGTTGAATTTCATATTCTATGATAAACAAAATTAATTTGGAATGAAGAATCAAAATTTGAGATTAACAATATGTAAGTATATACGCTGTGCTTGACTTAACGCCGAGACACTACCGTGTCTCCAGATCGAGGCGACAATGATGACGTATTAAAGCATCTCACATTATTTATATTTATTTGAAATAAAATACGTATGCAACAGAATCATAATAGGCTGCGTTCCGTTTCACGCATAATGTGTATAATGCATCATTTATCCTTGTTTAACATTCGGTGAATAACAAGGATAAAAGATGCATCATGCGCATCATGCAAAACAGAACGCAGCTATGGACATAGGCCCGTTTCTACCAATATGGATTAACTTTAATCTTAACATAATTTTATTTCTCTCGAATTTTATTTCTTTCGTAAAAATTTGACCGAAAGTAATTCTGATAAAAGAAAGTAATACTGATAAAATAATTTGGATTAATACTTTTCGATTAAATAAGACTATATTTTTTATGTTGAATTTCATATTCTATGATAAACAAAATTAATTTGGAATGAAGAATCAAAATTTGAGATTAACAATATGTAAGTATATACGCTGTGCTTGACTTAACGCCGAGACACTACCGTGTCTCCAGATCGAGGCGACAATGATGACGTATTAAAGCATCTCACATTATTTATATTTATTTGAAATAAAATACGTATGCAACAGAATCATAATAGGCTGCGTTCCGTTTCACGCATAATGTGTATAATGCATCATTTATCCTTGTTTAACATTCGGTGAATAACAAGGATAAAAGATGCATCATGCGCATCATGCAAAACAGAACGCAGCTATGGACATAGGCCCGTTTCTACCAATATGGATTAACTTTAATCTTGGTTTAATTTACTCTTCTTCTTTTAAAATCCTTGGAACTAGAAAAAGATGAAGAGTAAGTTAAACCGAGATTAAAGTTAATCTACAATTGATAGAAACGAGCCATATAAGGCCAGTTTCACCAACGCCGATTAAGCTTAATCGTGATTAACTATCAACCGTGATTGGTCAATTCTACTAAACAGCAAATACGATTGGTCAGTTAACGGCCGATTAAGTTAACTGACGTTGGTGAAATTGGCCCACAGAATTACAAATCATCATTTTATAAATGTAACGAATAGATTATTTTACTTATTTTGTAATATGCGTTAATATTTTCACAATAAGATGATCGGCGCGCGGCCTTGGGAATTGTTTTGGCGCTAAAGAGCGGGCGGGAGGGTGGTATGGGGTGGCACGGCCCACGAGCGGCACGGGGTGGAGCGTCACGTTAATGCGAAGTTACCATGCAGTCATTCCCTTACCGAGACTCGTACGGGTAGGTATCCGTGCCGCATGCCGCTCTTCTTCACATTTCTTTTTGAAACGTTATCGCGAAGAATGCTAAATATAATACGTTGTACTTTATGAATACTTATAGTATACGATTACTAACTTGCACGATTAATTATTCATTAAAGGATGGAGGATGACAATCATATGTATCACGAAACAGATTTTTTGTTCATTCATTTGGAATCAAAACGCAATGAAAACCAGAATTTATTACCATTTCGCGTTAATTACGGACAACAATTATTTTTGTTTAACGTAAACTTTTTCTATCACTTGAGTAATAACTCTCAATTATACTTCGAACGGTATTACACAAGTTATAAAAAAGCAATGTTAATAAATACTTTTATGCAAATAACGAAATTTATGCGATTTCTACTTTCACAATCTACTTACACAAATATAGTTAGTGTAAATAATAATTTAATTAATTTCTCGTTTTCGTGCATCTTTTGAGACATGATAAAAAATTGAGCGTAATTTTGAAACTATTTATCAGTAATAAAAGAAATATTTTTCTTTTTTATTAATCTCTAGCTCATTCCATTGACTCTAATCATATTTTACCGACATCATAATAAGAGATTCAGCCCTTTTATCTGCTCTGAATTTATTTCGCAATGGCGAATTGTGTTTTTATATTACTTCTAAAAGTTAACCGATAATTGTACAGTAATATAGATAATAGTATATTACATTTTTCAGATGATATCTTCCCTCTCACGGGTACGACCTTGTCGTGGTAAGAGGGCTCAGTATCCGGAGGATATACGAAAAGAATGGTTTTTTTCAACTATCTAAAAATTTTCGAATCTATTTGAATGATATACCTAGATAAATTTTTAGATACTTAAGTAAAATCATTCTCTTCATGTAAAAATCCAATGATGGGGAAGCTAACGTACCCTCGTCGCCGATTTAATTGAAAGTGAACGAACCGCAGCCGGTTCGTCGCGTCGCGCGTTTGCTTCGGGAGTGCCGTTGAAGTTATCGGACTAATAGTTTTCACAAAACACATTCGATG